GGAAGTGCCAGTATCAGCCCAAGCTCCAGCTGGAGCTCGGCACTGATCCTGGCACTTCTGCTGAGCCCTGAAGAAGCACCGATCAGCTGGAATCTTGCAGCATCTCCAAGGTCTTGTGATTTACATTCAGAAGCTTGGCAACTGATTCATATTTATGACACTCACAGTATCCCAGGATCATGTGAAGTGTCCAAAACCTGCTGCAACCACCCAGCAGACGGGGGGGGGGAATAAAGACCAAACATCCCCCACCCCACCCCCACTGCCAATCCTCAACAGATATGCTCACAACAATGAAAACCTCGGACAGGAGGAAGAGTGCTGCTGGGTGGGCAGGCAAGTGTCTTGCTCGGCTGTAGCCGGGGCAGGCAGTTATTTCAGTGCCATTATAACTTCAAATAGTCACTAAGCGAACTGTTGTAAGTCGAGGACTACCTGTACTTTATCACTTTTTTCCTTTTTTTTTTTGTTCATCAAGTTTTTGACACCTTGCTAGGCGACTGGTGGTACTCGGATATTGTCATATCCTAAAAGTGGTACAATCGGTGAAAATGTTGAAAAGCCCTGCTCTAGGAGGTATCACGGTACAACTCAATACCTAGCATGGAAACACCTCCCCTCCTCACAAAATGAGTGGGTCCATAAACGTCATGTCAGAGCCCCGAAACTATTAAAGAAGTTTCATACAGAGTATCCCAACAAGCCAGACTAACTTTTATATCTGTTTTGTTTTTTCTACAGGTGGAGCTCTCTTATTTTTAAGGGGGGGCAGGATGTCAGAATCCAGTTATATTTCCTTTCTATCTATCTTCTCTGATCTAAAACCAATTCTTACCCTTCCCTGGATTCTGCCATACTCCCAAGGGGGAGGGGGGATATGCATGCAGGTTTATTACTTTTACTTCCTCTATTCACTACAAAGTAACCTTTTGTTTATTCACCTTCATGTCTGCTAACCATTACAATGTAACAATTTGCCTCGTATCCTAGGCCCCCTCTGAACTTCCTTATCGGGCAGCTAGGAAAAAGGGGTGAAAAGATACAGACCTCCAGGATCTGGCTTATTTCTCTGTCATCAAAATAAGGTGTGAAGAGCTGTTGAATGATCGTACACAATGGAGCTGGATTAATGTTATGTTTCCTGGATTTAACACCTAGGAATTTGCTGGTCTGAATTGCCCGGAAGAACTGTGGAGTGGGGTGCTCAGGGACACTTTAAAACATCAATCTGTAAGGGAATCTCTCAGATCCTGTCTATTATGCCTGCTATCGGCTACTCTTAATAAAAGTTCCTGTTGGAAGAGATTGTTTCCAAGAGTTCTGCTTTCTTAAGATGTGGGTTGAAGTGGAGCCTTACACCTAGATTCCTCTCATAATTACTACTGTTGAACCAGATTCATCTTTTCTATAACTGTGCATTTGTTTTTTCTTGCCTATATATAGGATCTTACTTTTCTCACAACTGAATTGCATTGGTTGTATAGGGCCCATGTTCAAATCTGTCAAGGTACTCTGTGTCTTGAGTCTACCCTCCAAAGCGTTAGCAATTTCCTCCAACTTGGTGTTTTTTGCAAATTTGATGAGTTTCCCTTCTATTCCCTCATCTAAATTGTTTATAAAGATATTGAAGAGTACTGGGCCTTGAGCTATCCCATTGCAAGCTTCCCTCCATGTAGATGTAGTTCCATTGTGGACTTCTCACTAAGTGTGAACGATCAATCAGTTGCAAACCCATCTGGTGGTGGTACTATCTATTTCACATTGTTTTATCTTACCAAAAAGGAGGCTGTGATCTTTTTTATCAAGTACCTTACTAAAGTCTAAGTAAACTGTGTTCACAGCATTTCCCTCATCAACTAGTGACTTTGTCAAAGAAGGCAATAAGGTCAGTCTGACATGATTTATTTTTAACCAAATCCATGCTGGCTTCTAGTAATCACCTTGTTCATTTCTAGGTACTTAAAAATCCCGTGTTTCTTTGTCTTTTCTAGGGTTTTCCCAGGTATTGATATTAGACTAACTGGCCTGTAATTTCCTGGATCCATTTTGTTTTCCTTTTTTTGAAGATTGGAAGCATATCAGCTCTTTTCCAGTCCTTTAGTATTTCTCTGGTGCTCCAGGAACTTTGAAAAATTTTGTTCAATGGTTTCAAGACCACATCTGCCAATTCCTTCAAAATTATGGGATGCAATCCATCTGGTTCTGGCAATTTGAACTCGTCTGGACTGAATAGGAATTCTCTAACCATTTTCTTCCTTATTTTGACTTGCATTGCTATTCTATATCCTACATGCCACTTCTAATTGGCTGGACTGTTTTTCCTTTTGGTGAAAGCAGATTCAAAGAATGAATTAAGCAATTCTGCTTTCTCCTTGGTGCCTGTCACCTTTTTGCTATCTTCTCCCATCAGCAGATTGATGCTTTCCTTGATTTTTTTTTTGTTTCTTATATGGTTAAATTTTTTTAAAAAATATTGTTAGCATTTGTTACAAGTCTTAATTCACTCTAACCCTTAGCATTCTTGCCTTTGTCCTTGCTGATTCACGCATTTTCCTAGCATCCTTCTTTCCATTTTTTCCATCTTTTTCTCTCAGCTTGTCAGAGATACTTTATGCAATCATGCTGGCTTTATCTGGGGCCTCCTATTTTCTTTCTCTGTGGTACTATGTTAGATCGGGCTCTTATAATCTCATTTTTTCAGATTTTCCCAAGTATCTTGAGTTGTCCCAAAGTGCTTTTTCAAAAAACAACTGAACTTTGTTTTTCCTGAAGATATTTCACTTCTTATCCAAGAAGCTTCTTCAATTCTTGAGCTGTTTTCCCCTTTAAGATTTCCATCTATAGATTCCTTCCTAAACTCTTAGTTTGTTAAAGTCAGATTTCTTGTCTAAGATCATAGTTTGACTTTATTTGATTATATGTGCCTGAATTATATATGGCATGGTTACTCTCTCCCAAACTTCCCACAACTTCAACCCATATCATTTCAACTCTCTTAGTAAGGATTAAGTCCAGTGTCCCTAGAGATGTCCCTCTACTACCTTTTGGGTGACAAAGTTGTCAGCTAAATTGGTTAGTAAGCTGTTCAATCTCTCACTTGATGCACAATTTGTCTCCCAGTGGATTTCAGGTCAGTTAAAGTCCCCCATTACTACAGTGGTGGGTTTCCTGCACACTCTAGTTAATTGATTTGCAAAATGTTCATCTATTTCCTCTGCATGATTGAGTGGTCTGTAGTATATACCCATGGCAATGTCATTTTCCTCCTTTATATTAATCCATATGCAATCAAGAAGGTTTTATGCATTTCTCTACAGGTATAGTGATTTCCAATATATAATGAAATACAACCTTCTCTTTTGTTACTTCTGTTTCTTTGAACAATTTATATCCTTCCAGCAGTACATTGCAATCATTAGTTTTATGCCACCAAATTGCAGTAATAGCAACAATATTATATTTGCCCTCATATACTAGAACTTCAAGTTCACCCTGTTTACTCCTCATACTTTCAGCATTAGTATCTAGACATCCAAGCCCTTTATGGCTGACCCTGCATTTGCTTCTTCCATCTTCTATTTTATATCTGAGTTCCCCTTACTTCTTAGCGCTTCCTATCTCGTCTGATTGGTTGTCTTGGGGTTTATGCTTGAAATTAGGTTCTAAAATTCCTAAAGATTGGTCACCCTCCCTTTCCAGTTTTAGTTTGGATAAGCTCAGTCAGTCACTTTCTAAATACTTTTGCCAATTATTGTGAGGTGTAGCTTATCTCCTGCCAGAAGCCCTTCATGTAGGTAATGTAGACCATGGTCTAGGAATCCAAAGTTCTCTCAAAGGCACCATCCCTTAAGTCAGTGGTTTTCTAAAATCTTCTTTTCCCTCATTGGAAGTTGTCCTTCTGTTGAAAGTACAGATGAAAACACCACTTATGCTCCTAACTTCTTGGTTTTTATGCCAAGGTGCATAAAATGTCTCTTGAAATTGTTTTCAGCTTCATTGTCATATCATTTGTCCCTGTGTGGAAGAGGAGGAAGGTATAATAATCTGTGGGTTTGATTATTTTAATAACTCTCTGTCATACCTTTCATCTGCTCCTGGGAGACAACATGCTTCCCTAGATTGAATGTCCAGTATACAAATCGTTGATTCCATTCAGCAATTTTTCAACTTTTGTTAGAGAAGTGAATCTTTATTGACCAACACATACCTTTTTTCCTGGGGATATCTGGGCTACTTTTCTTCCTATCACTGGAACACATCATGATGTCCCTTCTCTAGATGTCTACATGATTTGTTCCAGGGGTAACATATGAAGTTGATTGCTCAGCTCCAGCGGGACTGGATAGCACTAAGCAGCAGAAATATTATTCTTGATTGATTGTTGTTGTTTCTTGAGGTCATGTTGCCATCCGTCTATCTTTAAAGGTTCATCTGATAGTTTGGCGTTTGTTTCTTATTGTGTTCAGTTTGGATACAGTCTTCTTTCTTTGGTTGGAGTTTCTCATTTTGTTGATTGACTCAGAGTGGCTAGTCTTGCCTGAATCAATTGGGTGGCTTGTAGTATATACCCATGACTGATTTCAAAAATGTTAAATGGAACTAAAAAGCCAAAGCTCAATTTAAAATAGTCTTCACTTTTATCTTTTATCTAAGTGAAACCATGTAGACTATCACTATGGAATCTTTCTATTAACAACTGTCAAGTTGTGAAGTCTCATTTGCTCCATTTTTACCAGCTGAGATTTAACAGTATTTGATATGTAATTATATTCATATTAATCTATTTTTATATTATTGCAAACTATATGAAGTTTTAAACAAAAGAAAGGCAATATACACATGTCCTAATCAATAAATAGTAATAACAATTAACATTCCAATTTTGAAATTATATTCTGAAATAGCAGACCCTTTGAAGAAAGATATTTTCAATGACAAGAAGGCAAGTGTTAAGTTATTAGGAATCCTATGGCATTTGTTTAGACTTTAAAAAGCCTTACCCTGTATACAAAAATAAGGAAGACAAAGTTCGAGAGGCTGACATCCTTTTCTATTTACTTCACACAATTGATTTGCAGCACAGGGATTTGGGTTACAGGGATGTGTAACATCTTCCACAATATTATCCAATGTACTTGGACCTGAAAAAAACAAAAAGTAGGGAACATTAATATTGTGTATAATCAGATTTGTGAATTAATTTTTTAAGCTAGTGTCATTTTTATTCAGTAAGTGAAAATGTACACATTATTAAAAGAAAAAATAATTCAGCCAATTTTTTAAAAAAGAACCAACATTTCAGCTTAAAATAGGTTATGTTCTGAAGTGCTTATATTTATTATTTATCTAGCATTCATTCATTCATTTGTTCATTCATTCCTTCGTTCATTCATTTATCATATTTTTATGGATGCCCATCCCATTCTGGGCAGCATATATTAAAAACAAACCATGGAAAAGAAACATTAAAAATATTCTGTATTTTTTTTAAAAAACATTATTATTGAAAGATAAGAAAACAGCATCTTCAGTATAACAGACAATATAATGAATCTCATTGATCCACTATTTCCTTGATATCCTCAAGCCTGTTGATACAATTGTGTTTTGAGCAATATTCAGAAAGTTAGCAAAGATGGAGCTAGCCTCATCTCAAGGGAATGATGTTTCGTATAGCAGAAAAGACCTGTGTCCTAGGTCCTGCCAGATTCAAGTCCTTAATGGACAGAACCTGCAGCATATCTTTTTTCACAGAGCCAACGAGATGGACAAATATAATCAGGAAAAGAAGGTTCCTCAAATACACTGGTCCCAGAAAGATCAAAACTGGTATCCTTGGACCTGGACTATTCCAGGAGCACACATAATTTGCCTGTGTCACTATATTTTATATCAATTAAAGCTTCTGAATACACTTCAAGTGTAGAGCACATAGCAATAGTCAATCTGGGCGGTGAATATTAATACATGGTTTGATAATTTCTCAGAGGTTTTACCAGTGCATAAGGAGCAAAATGGAAAAGGCCAGCGCATAGCACAATTCAATATGTGGTATAAAGGGGAAGGCTTTGAATGTATTAGTCATGATGTCTATAACTGGTCCAATGAAAAGATATACAAAAGAGATGGTTTGCATCCATCAAAGAAAGGGACTGAGTTACTCAGCTATAAATTCACAGATTTTCTGGAGGAAAATTTAAACTAAATAGCTGGGACAGTGAGTTAATTGATACAGAACAACCCTGTCCCCGGCAATCTAAAAATTATAGGGATATCAGTGCATGTAACATAGATGTATATGTGGACAAGAATACCAACCTTGCTGTCAAGCAAAATCAAGCCTCTAATAGCGAGTGCCACACAAAGTGCACGAACGAAATAGGTGGGAAGACAATAGGGGAACTCAGGCATCACACAGGTCATGTAGAAAGTAAATACAGGGCCAGTCACAAAGGACTCAAATGTCTATACACCAATGCACAGAGTATGAACAACAAACAGGGAGAACTAGAAATTCAGATTAATGAAAGCAGATATGATATTGTTGCCGTTACGGAACCATGGTGGGACGAAACCCACACATGGAACACATAGCTAGAGGGATTTAAATTATTTAAAAGAAACAGACCAAATAAAAGAGGAGCTAGAGTTGCTCTCTATATAAGAAATAACTACATCTCTACAGAAATAGAGCACAACAATGATAAAAACTGTCTTGAATGCATTTGGGTCAATATAAAAGGGGGAAATGACATTGCCATAGGTGTATACTACAGACCATCCAACCAATCAGAGGAAATAGATGAACTTTTTGCTAGTCAGCTAACTAAGGTATATAGGAAGCACATCACAATCGTAATGGGGGACTTTAACTACCCTGACATCAACTGGGAGACAAACTCTGCACCAAGTGGAAGACCAAACAGGTTCCTGGCAAACCTAGCAGACAACTTTCTCTCCCCAAAAGTAGAGAAGGGAACTAGGGAATTAGCCATTTTGGATCAAATTCTCACTAACAGAGATGAAATGATATAAGGTGTTGAAGCCATAGGAACCCTGGGAGGAAGTGATCATGAAATATTAGAATTCAACATTATGGAAGCACAAGCAATAGAACACAATCAAACTAAAGTCTTGGACTTCAAGAGAGCTAATTTCAATAATCCTAGAGAGGGCTTGGGAAGGATTCCATGGATGAGAATCCTCAAGGGGAAAACAATTCAAGAAGCTTGGGAAATTTTGAAAAATGAGATAATAAAAGTCTAGCACAATACTAACAAAGAGGAAAAATAACAGCTCTCAAAAGAAACCAGCATGGCTGCATAAAGAACTCTCTGACAAATTGAAAGATAAAAAGGACAAGTATAGAAAATGGAAAGAGGGGCACATAACTACATCAGAATATCAGCAAATAACCCAAGCCTGCAAAGATGAAGTGAGGAAAGCTAAGGTTCAAAATGAACTAAGGCTTGTGACCAAAGTCAAAAATAATAAAAAAGCTTCTTTCAACATGCAAAAAAACAAGAAAAAAGTGAAGGAAATGATTGGTCCACTAGTGGGTGAAAGTGGCAAAAAGGTGACAAGCAACAGGGAAAAAGCAGAACTATTTAACTCGTTTTTTGCATCTGTCTTTACACAAAGGGAAAAAACCTATCAAGACAAACCTATCAAAAATAGTGCCATAAAAAAACAAAATAGAAACACAAGTTAAGATAGGCAAGAAAATGGTAAGTGAGGAACTACCAGAGGACTGGAAAACAGCTAATGTAGTTCCCGTCTTCAAAAAAGGGAAAAAAAATGGACCCAGGAAATTACAGACCTATCAGCCTGACCTCGATACCTGGGAAGATCCTGGAAAAGATAATCAAACAACGAATCAGCATACACCTAGAGGCAAACAAAGTCATTACTAAAAGCCAACATGAGTTTGTCAAAAATAGATCATACCAGACAAATCTTATTGCATTCTTTGACCAAGTGACAAAATTAGTGGATCAGAGGAATACTGTGGACATAATTTACTTGGACTTCAGAAAGGCATTTGATAAAGTAGATCACAACCTACTACTTGACAAGATAGAAAAATGTGGGGTAGACAGCATCACCATCAGATGCGTCCGTAGCTGGCTGACCGGTCATACTCAGCGAGTGGTCCTCAATTGAACCGCATCTACATGGAGGGAAGTGTGTAGTGGGGTGCCCCAGGATTCTGTTCTGGGCCCAGTGCTCTTCAACATCTTCATCAACAATTTGGAAGAAGGGATAGATGGGGAACTCATCAAATTTGCAGATGACACCAAGCTGGCAGAAATAGCCAACATTCCAGAAGACAGGCTTAAGATACAGAAGGATCTGGACAGACTTGAACACTGGGCGCTATCTAACAAAATGAAATTCAATGGTGAAAAAAGCAAGGTTCTACATTTAGGCAAGAAAAACCAAATGCACAGGAATAGTATAGGGGGTATCTTGCTCAATAGTAGTAACTGTGAGAGGGATCTCGGAGTCCTAGTAGACAATCACTTAAATATGAGCTAGCAGTGTGCTGCAGCTGCCAAAAAGGCCAACACGGTGCTAGGCTGCATTAACAGAGGGATAGAATCAAGATCAAATACCACTTTACAATGCCTTGGTAAGACCACCCTTGGAATACTGCATCCAGTTTTGGTCACCGCGCTGTACAAAAAATGTTGAGACTCTAGAAAGAGTACAGAGAAGAGCAACAAAGATGATTAGGGGACTGGAGGCTAAAGCATATAAGGAACGGCTGCTGGAATTGGGTATGTCTAATTTAATGAAGAGAAGGATGAGAGGGGACATGATAGCAGTGTTCCAATATCTCAGGGGCTGCCACAAAGAAGAGGGAGTCAAGCTATTTTCCAAAGCGCCTGAAGGCAGGACAAGGAGCAACAGGTGGAAACTAATCAAGGAGAGAAGCAACCTAGAACTAAGGAGAAACTTCCTGACAGTTACAACAATTAACCAGTGGAACAATCTGCCTCCAGAAGCAGTGAATGCTCCAACACTGGAAGTTTTTAAGAAGAGACTAGACAGCCATTTGTCCGAAATAGTATAGGATTTCCTGCCTGAGCAGGGTGTTGGAGTAGATGACCTCCAAGGTCCCCTCCAACTTTACTATTATTATTATTATGGATCATCGCACAGTCAGCCAGATGTTCAGACTGGATTTGGCATTTTGTCTACCTATCGAGTCCTTACCCAGGATCTGGGATAGGCAGATATGGATATTTGATGGCATTACAGGTATCATCGGCCTGTAGTTGCCTGGTGTTGCCCCTTTTGCTGGATTTTTCATTATTAAGTAGGTTTTCCCAGTTGTTAGCCACTTTTCAATTTCTCCTCCTTGTAGTATATTGTTGAACTGCTTGGCAATGAGTGGGTGTATAACAGTTAGATGTTTCAATCAAAACCCATGCAGTTCATCTTCACCTGGTGCTGACCAATTTTTGATTTTCCTTGCTGTTTTTCCTACCATTTTTGTTGTTATTACTAGTTCTTTCATTTCAACTTCTGTTTTATTTGCATCCACCTCTTTTAACCAAGCCGCATCCTTGTTGTATTTCTTTGGGTTATCCCATATCTGCTTCCAGAACTGCACTGTTTCTTCCTTGTCAGTTACTGACTGATTCCTTGCAGTTTCTCCATTGATGGATTGGTAGAAACGTTTCTGATTGGATTGAAATTGGAGGTTCTGCCTATAGTTTGCAATTCGAGCTTCATATCTACTGATTTTCCTGGCTATAGCTGTTATTTGTTGCTTTATTATTTCCAGTGCTTCATTGATCTTCCTTGTTTCTAAGTGGTATTTCTTGATTAGGTATTCTTTGGTCTTCTTGTTCTTCAGCTTCTTTTCTTTCATCTGTTCTAGCTTGCTTGCATGTGATCTTAACTTGCTGATCTTATTTTCTAGTCTAACCTTCCATTTTTGTGGTGCACTGTTTGTTTGTTTTTCTTCTTTGTTGATTTTGCATCCCAGGTATTCAGTTATAACTGCAGCTGTGCTATACATTAGTTGGTTTGTTTCTTGCAGTGAATTGGTGCTTTTACTTGATATTGCAATATTTGCATCTTTTAATGCTTGTGCTGTTTCTTTGGAACAAGCTTCAATGCAGGCAGCCTT